AAGTGGGTTTCTTAGTCCATCCCATAAAGAGGAAGAGGAAGCTGCTAAGCCTGGCGTATTGGTGGCCATGAGCAAAGTGTCAGCCTGCCAGCAAAGGAGGAGACAGAAGAATTAAGAACCAGATGAAAGATACGGTAAAGGCTGGTCACCGCCTGGGTGGGGCTAGTTCATGGAGGGACAAACGTGTCCCCTTGGGCAGTAAAAGCCGCAAAGTCCTGCAGTTTATTAGTCCCAGGAACTAACCAACGTCCTACAGTCCCAAGATGTCAATAGGTGGCTGCATTAGTCACGTTCTCAGCCAACTGTTTTCCAGACAAGACGGACGTAATCCATTTTAGAAATGGTTGCACAAGCCATTTCGTCTCTGTGAGCCTTGGCTTTCTTATCTGTGAAGCAGATAAAGATAAAAAGGGAAAAGAAACTATAATAAATGCTACATATTACTATTATTAGTGATGCATTCTCTGCAGGGTGCCCTTGTCACGAGGTCATATGGTCAGTGCTTCCTGGGGAGGGCGGGGTGTTCAGGAAATTTCTCGGCTCAGGAATGAGGAAGGGCCTTTCCTGCAACAGTGAGTTTGGCTGTCAGTGGGTTTAATGGCAAAGCACATAGCAATTCACCGGCTCCAGCTACATCAGTTACTTGGAATCCTGCCGTGTGTATGTGAGGGAGGGGATGGCAGTAGTGTGAACTAACCTCTGATTGCAATGTAGCGTCTCCTCTGACCTAAAGGTGGGCCACAAACCCTAACATCACCAGTTGAAATCACATATATTATCACAGTGGTGACAGTTATCTCGAGATGCTCTTACGCTCATAGTTGATTGGACAGCGGGTAGACACTTGAATCAAGCTGGTCCCATTCAATTCTTACCCTTGAAAGACACAAAGACCTATTTAGTTCCAGGTCCAAGAACCAGAAGTTCAAGGATCCCATCGTTTTATGCTTTAGAGATGCAGGGAAATCTGCTCTTAGAAAGAAGGAGGCTCATCTGCTCACTAGGCCCCCTCCCTAACCCCATCTCCAAACCCATAAGGCCAAGCTTCCCCTCTGCCCTTGGATTCCATGTGGAACACAGTTGAAGGCTTTCCATGCAGCCTCAGAAGCCCCAGATGGATTTAGACTGTATCTAGGGACCCATCCAGTGACCAATAGTGAGGTTGTGTCTGAGAAGCGGAATGAGGAATGTGGCAGATGGGCCTCTGTTGCCCCTATAGAGCCTGCACGTGGTTGATCTTCGTGCACACTTGGTCTCCCAGCTGCTGCTGACACCCAAGGGTCTGGGGATCGAAACCAAAATAAGCAGCTAGGAAAACAGAAATAGGTCCCCAGCTGGCAAAACAGCCTCTGGGCACACCATCTCTAAATAGCATCTGATACATGCAAACACCTGCAGCAGTTCACTTCTCTCGATGGAAGGCTGAGCTCCAAGGAGCTGATCGTGGCAGGTCCAGAGAGTCTCTGTGCCACATATGCACCCACTGCCATGGTGATTCCTTGCTGGCTCTTCTATGCCTGCCTTTCCTTTGCTCCTGACTCTCACACAGGATCCGCCACAGAAAAGGCCCTTATTGTGAATGAAGAATAAGGATGAACCTATACGCTTCTCCTGCATCTAGAGCAGGGCTCCTTAACCTCGGGTCCTTGGACCAGGGATCCATGGATTAAACTCAGGGATCGTGTGCTTGGATAGGGGGAGGAAAATGAATCTTTGTTTTTACTAATCTCTAATTGCGATGTGGCATTGTGGGCCACACACCCTAATATCACCAGTTGAAACCACATGTATTTTTCTTACCACAGTTGTGGCAGTTTTCTCGAACTGCTATTATGCTCATCACTACCTTGAAATTATATTGAGACCTGCCTCCACATCACTATTTAACTTATTAATAAAGAAACGTCACACAATCGGAACATTTGGAGAATTACACTTCACTATCAGTGGTTTCTTTTGCACTATTATGTGCTGTATTTCATGCGTTAAAACCCGTCCTGACGTGCACACCACACACGGTCACCTCATCCTTCCCTGCCCAGGCACTTGCTGCATGACGATGCAGGCTGCAAAAGTGTTTACAGCTAATTATGCTAAGAAACTCTTCAAGGTACGTGAAGAAAAAAACAATATAATAAACAGTAAGATAGTTGTTTAAAAAGGAGGGGGGTGTTAAGTGTGGGCTGCATTTAGGGACTTGCTTCAAAAGAACAAGTATGGCAAAGCAGAAAAAGTAACTTAACAGTTGAGACACCTGGCAAACACCTCAGCCAGGCAATCAGTCAACCTCATCTGTGTTAAATCACGTTGGCCCATCATGCTGACAGCACGAGGTGATGAGAATGGCACTGAGCCTCTGGGGTCTTCATTCCAAACACTGAGAACCCCAACTGAACCATGAGAAAACCATATACGCAAACCTCAGTTGAAGGCCATTCTGCAAAATGCCCCACCAGGGCTTCTCAAAACCGTCAAGGTCATCAAAAGCAAGGATAGTCTGAGAATCTCTTACAGGCCAGAGGAAGCAAAGCAGGCTGGATGACGAAATGTAACCTGGTATCTGGACGGGATCCTGGGACAGAAAAAGGACAACAGGGAAAAACTAGTGAAATCCCAAGAAAGTATGGAGCTTAGTTAATAGTAATCTATCAATGTTGATTTCTTAGTTGTGACCAGTGCACTGTAGTAACATGATAATAATAATAGGGGAAACTGGAGGTGGGGTATACGGAAACTCTCTGTACTATCTTTGCAACTGTTTTGTAAATTTTAAACTAATTTTAAATAGCAATGGGAGGTTGTTGTACTGAAACCTGTTGTGTCTACATTTTTTAAAAAAATACAAGGGCCAGAAGCATTACAGGGATTGTCACTGGGTGGTCTTCCCACATGCTTTTCTATAATAAAAATAAAATGTGAAAAAAGATGTTTCCTTCTAATTACAGGTTGAAAAGCTTGATCCCCTTGTCACTGTATTATTCAGCTGTTGAGCGCTTGAAACAGGGCTGGTCTGAATTGAGGTGCTGTGATGTAAAACACACCCTGGATTTCTTAGTAGCAAGAAAACAATGCATGATGCCTTAATAATTACATTGATCCTATGTTGAAGTGATAATATTTTGGATATGTTGCGTTAAATTATTAAAGTTAATTTCACTTGTCTCTGCCTTTTTTAATGTGGCTACTTGAAAATTTGAAGTTACATCTGTGGTTCGTATTATATTTTTACTCGACAGGGATGCTCTAAAGCAAAGAATTCCAAAGGTGAGGGGCATGTGGTAGGAAGCCCCAGGTAAGGAAAGACCCATCCCAATGCATGACCTCTCAGGCGGAGGAAAAAGACACAAGCCACTGCAAAGTTACAAATTTATTGGTCTGGAAATAAATACAAATATCTCATTAAGAAACTCCTCTGGAAAGACTTGTACACAACAGTTTCTTGTTCTGATTCAGCCATTTCTGCCTCCCAGGGGGTAGGTCACAGATAAACTGAGTCATTATTCCCCCAAGCTACCTAGAAGGCTTGACTATTCCTCCCAGTAACCACTAGGCCCCGGTGGCTGAGTCACAATGTTCCTTTCACTCTGATCAAACTTCCTATAAGAAGATCCACGGTTAGCCAAAGTAAAAATCAAAAGGCAGTAAGTAGTACAGGAACTTGACAGCTACGCTGACGTTGCCCAGAAATGTCAGTGGTGCCACCCCGTTCAGCGAGAGGTTAGAGGGGCAGGGTAGAGGGGAAGGCGGGAGAGGGAAGGAAATCCCATGGAATACACATTCCAGAATCCTTGCATCTTCTGGGCCACCGCTCCCCAAGGGCATCCCCACCCGCTACAAGAGCGAACAGTTCTATCTGAAGATCCCGGAAGGTCACCAGGTCAGAAGTGTTTGGCAGTCAAGTTCAGATTCGACCCGGGTTGTCAAAGATTGGAAGCTAGATTTAACTCAGTCACACATGGTCCCTGGGAACCAGATGGGATCAACTGAAATCACAACTGCACTGGACTCCATCACAACCACGAGGAATCCTTTACATCTAATAACCAAAAATCCCCCCCCACCTCAATGCCCCTGCCCCCCTCCCCTGGCCACTGCATGGAGATGCCTCACAGCCAGGCACGGCCCTCCATTTCAAAGCAGCAGCTACAAAGCTACAGGATTTTCCCCATGAATGAAATAATCACTCGTCCATGTATCTGGGGTAGGAAGTAGGCGACGTGGAGGAAGAGGCAGGCAGCAGAATCAGAGCCTCAAACCCCCAATACCAAACGTTTGCCAAGACCGTCTCTTTGAAAAACTGGGAGATTTTGTCACCTGCTTCTGTCGTCCATTAAAAAAATGCCAGAAAAACAGGCTTCTGGCATCGGCACTAAAAAGTGCATATATGCACAGACGTTAAAAATCTACTCAAGTTCACGACAGAGATGTGCTCTTCCAAACACTTCGGAGCCTCTGCATAAATTCCACCTCTTTCCCCGATTCCTGTTTGGCTTTGTTAAAAGAGCTCGCCACCATTCCCCCCTCTCCCCCTCTCCAAATCAGAAAGGGTTTGGTTTCCAGAAACTGGGTCTGTTTTTTCTTTAGTTGGAAAGGAAACAGGAGGTAGGTGGGCTGGGCTTCCAACAAAACGTCACTTCGCGCCAGGATGCTCAGGTCAGCCTAGCCTTGGGTTGATCAAGTGTTTGCTCTGTGTTTCTTGTTTTTGGCAGTTTGGTGTCTCTGAGGGAGGGTAAGACAGTGGCCTCTAGGCCGCTCGCTAGTGGAAACAGGACACTGAGATGCTTCTTTCCCTTTGGTCCACTCCACCCCGCCCTCGCCGGAAGGGGAGCCCTCCACAAACCCAATCTCACTTTGTCCTCACCAGAGCTCACTCGTACAAAATAAGCTTTGGATTAATACCGAGCTACATGTGGTTGGCAGGCAGGGGCGGGGAGGGGCCAGAGGAGGGGCAGCTACAGCGATTGATCCCAGAGTCCAGGGGCGGCCGTCCCCAAGGCCACCTAGCAGGACACCTCCGTGGAGTTGGGCCCTGCGCTGCTCCCGGGGCCGCCGGAGTTGGGGACGATGTCCAGCCGGGCGCCCTCGCTGGTGTGGGAGCGGCTGCGGGCGCCCTCCAGGGACGTGACGCTGGAGCCCGAGGCTGTGCGGGACCTCATCAGGCGCGTCATGCTGGCGGAGGGCACTGTGAGAGAGGAGGGAGACCCATGAGGGGATGGGCCAGCGCTGGAGCACCTGCACACCGGGGATGCTGCCTGCTGTGCGCCCCACCCGCCTGGGCACCTTTGCTCCCGTCCATCCTCGCAGCCATCCGGCTGCTGGGCTCCGCATCGTTTCTGTCTCTGCCCACAGAGGTGGAGCGCAAGACCCAGGTGCAGTAAGGACTTGCTGTGATCCCACAGCGGCGTGAACCCACGGCTGGTCTGAATCCCAGCTCTGTCTGCTACCTGCTACTTGAATCCCAGCTCTGGGGCTTTGGGAGTGTCCCTCTCTGAGCCCCCGGCCCCCCCTATAAAATGGGAATACTACCAATGATGCCCTGGTAGCAGCGCTGGGGTGTGTGCCCACCACCCTGTAAGGTCAACAATTGCCAGAGCAGGGAGGATGTTCAAGGTTGGCCAGGCTAATCCCTGCACGCCACAGGCTGGAAACCAAGGCCACACAGAGTGGTCAGCTGTCATCTCTTCCTTCAGGAAACCTGTGAGCTCCCAGGTACTATCAACGGCACTGTCCATTCGAAAGGATTTAAAATGCCCTTGAACACAGCAGGTGGCTTATAAGGTGGAATGAAGACAAAAAATCGCCCCGCCTGTACTGGGTGGAATAGCATCCCCCCAAACTCATGTCCACTGGGACCTCAGACTGTAACCTTCTTTGGAAATAGGGTCTTTTCAGATCTATTTAGATACAATGAGGTCACCCTGGGTTGGGGTGAACTCTGATGCCATGGCTGGTTTCCTCTTAAGAAGAGGAGACACAGGTACACACAGGGAGAAGCCATGTGAAGACAGGGCAGATATCAGAGTGATGCAGCTACAAGCCAAGGACTGCTGGCAACCACCAGAAGCTGGGACAAGGCAAGGAAGGATTCTTCTTAGAATCTTTGGAGGGAGGATGACCCTGCCCGCATCTTGATTTTGGACTTCTAGCCTCTAGAGCCGCAGCACTGTGAGAGAATAAATTCCTTTTGTTCTAAGCCACCCAGTTTGTGGGGATTTGTTATGGCAGCCCTGGGAAAATACTACACCACCCAGCTGAAGCATCATTGCCAAGGCCATATTGAATAATGGATATCACACAATGAGGCAGCTGATAAATACACAGGCATGTAGGGGTTACACTATTCACTCAATGGGCATAGGTGTTGGCTTTCTGTGGCAGACATCCACAGACAGAATTCATTCTCGCCGTACCGAATCCTCTCCTTACAGAGCTAGTTGCTGAATCCAGAAAAAAAATTGGGATCAACCCTACATCTGTTGCTCACCTATTTTCTCTGAGCCCCTATTTCTTGACCCCAGATCTGGGGGCTTACTGACCTTGCAGGGCTCTGGTGACCCTAGCATGGTGTCATGTATGCTGAGGGCTCATCATTCTGGCCCGCTGCTGTGAGCAGGCACTCAGTAAATGAATGATTACTTTGTCTTTGGTTGATGCCTCCAGCTCTCTCTGCTGTCTTTCCCT